ATGGATCACTTAGGATATAAAAAGTAACTTGGTTTGTAGTTTAGAAGAAAGGCAAATCTCAAAGAGCTCTTTTTATAAAGGAAATTATTTCTTGATATTTTACAAAGAAATATGTAAAATTATTTTATAAAAGTAGAAATGAAATAAGGCTTTTATGATTATATTTAGTGTTAAACTTTTTTCTTAAACTAATTCTATTGGTTTTGAAATCTTAAGATACAAGCTAAATCTAAAATACATACATAATATTAATTTTATCCTGAAAAATTTTTAAGGGAAATATTATGAAAACATTGAAAATCAATTTTTTATGTATGAATATACTCTTTTGAAACAAAATAACAGGTAAACAAGAAATAGTAATGCACAAGATATGCATTTTTGCCATTGTAACATGGTGGATGACTTGAACACACTGCCCAAGCTTTAAATGAAAATGTTAATGACACTACTTTTGCTCAGCAGCACATTCTGAAAATACATGACAAGTAGCATTCTTCAAACATAAATATAGTGGAATGAGATGGACATCAGTACTCTAGGTACATGTATGATTGCATGAATTTTGTACCTCTATACCATGTACAACCAGAGAATTGAAATGTTGCACTCCATTTGTGTATGATGAATTGAAATGCATTCTGCTGTCATGTACAACTAAGTAGGACAAATTAAAAAATTAAAAAAAGAAATTATATTTGGAACTGAATTTATCATCTTAAAAGCTGGTCATTGGTAAAACATGTCTTTGAAATAAATATTGAGAATAGCAGAATGCCAATAAGAAAAACTACTTCTATCCTGTTTAAATGTGTGCTTAATATAAGAAAAACTTTGCCTGGCATGGTGGCACACATCTGTACTCCCAGCTGCTTGAGAGGCTGAGGCAGGAGGATTGCAAGTTCAAAGCCAGCCACTGCAACTTAGCAAGACCTTGCCTCAGAGTAAAAAAATAAAAAGGGCTGGAGATATGGTTCAATGGGTAAGAGACTCTGGGTTCAATCACAGGTACCAAAAAAAAGAGAAATTTATTGCTACACATTAAACATTTTGTTTTGACATTAAGCAGAAGATCACTGAAAAGAAATTTTAAGATTGACTAAAAGTTTTTTTGCAATTGTTTAGATGAGGCTTTCTTTTCTTTTCTTTCTTTTTTTTTTTTTTTGGATGAGGCTTTCTTGTGCCAGCATCATAACAGATTTCATTCCAGTGTGCTAACTCATGAATTGCAAATTTTTATAAATGAATCGTGGCTATAATTTATACTTGTGCTGAACTAAATGAACATAATCACTTTTCAGCAAGTAAAAAAAAAGCTCTTTTGGGTGTGACTAAGCCAAATAGAAAGTGATTGCTGATACTGTCAAAATTGATAATTGTTATCTACTTTTTGGAGTTGCCAGGTTACTAAAGATCATGAACAGTAGGAGAGAATTCCCCATTACTGTATCAAGAATGTTTAGACCAAGGTTAATACATGCCATTAGTATCCCCACTGATATCCCCCGTTATAACTCTTTTTGGCTGTGAAGATTCACTGTCATGGGAACCGGCCTTAATAACACACTAGTCATTAATGGACAGAAGTTAGAGGATAAATGCTCCAATTTACTTGCCATTCAGTGTGATGATTCTATCTGGAGGTCTCAGGTAAGATCTCCCAGTTTTCAGAAATAATCTACTAGATACCTTACTTTTTATTAGCTTTATCCTTCAGCATCTTACTTTTCCATTCTCTCAGAATGCTTCCTTTGATCATGTCTTAGATAAAGTACTTGCAATTAAACTCTTATTTTAGGATCTGTCTTTCAAAGTGGGGTCACAAGCTAATATTAAGAACTGATTACTTGACATACTGTCAAAGAACTGTAACTGATCTCCCAGATTTAACTACCCTGTCTCTCTCCTCCCATTTGCTTTATTTATTATCTCCAGACTTTTCCTTATCAGCACTCAGTCAACTCATGCCTTGTACTTCCTCAGACATTTTCAATAGCTCCCACTGCAATAGGTAAAACAAAACTCTTCCCCAAAAAGTCTACCTGTATTTCTAACTGTATGTCACTCTGCATTCCAATCAAATACTCATAAACCCCAGCACAAGCATTTTTAAAATTTTATTTAAACTTTTTTCTGCCTTCTGATCATCATGTGAGCTGCTTCCCTTCACCACACTCTTCCGCCATGATGTTCTGCCTCACCTTGAGGCCTGAGGAATGGAGCCAGCTGTCTATGGATTGAGACCTCTGAACTGTGAGCCCCCAAATAAACTTTTCCTCCTCTCAAAAAAATATTTAAAGAAATTGTCTTTGTTTTTTCGATAAGGTTGTTTTCTCTGCAGGAATGTCCTTCTCACCCATATTAGCTGATAAATCTCAGATCATCATTCAAGGTCCCAATCAAACCAATATCCCCTACGAAATTCTCTAAAATTCTGGTATATCATAGTATACCCTGATTGAGATGGTTCATGTATATCCATTCCTACAATCAGCTATAAATTCCTGGGAGGTTGGAGCTATATCATATCCATCTTTGTATTTAATGGTAACATTCAAAATAATTAGAAAATTTATGTTCCAGTTCTGACCAATCTAAAAGGATGCCTGATTAAGGTTCTGATGTCTTATGCATTAAAGAGTATCTTAACTATATCTGATTAGTTAAAATAAGTACTGAAATTTAATGATCTTACAAAACCTGACAAAAATCAAGAAAACAATTATACAAGGAAAAGGCATGTCAAATCTAATCAGGCATTTTTTTTCTTAGGTTCATTTCAACAACTTAGAGACCTTTTCATGGACCAGGGGCTTTAGTTGACACATTCATAAACATTCCCAATTCAATGATGTTCCACAGTTTGTGGTTCCTTTTATGTTCCTTCTCATGAGTAACATAACTGGCTGCTTTCTATAGAACACAAAATTGATATTCATTATGTTTTATGAAAAAGAATCATGAAAATTTGAATAACATGATGCTTTTACAAAAGGCTAGTTAAAATTGTAAACCTAAGGAAGATCCACCACCAACTATTAAGATTTATCATAGATCATTAAAATTAAAATTGAAATAAAATTGTCTTGAATCCAATTTATATCTTCTGGATTACCTAAAAAATGGCAAAATGTGACTTCACTGACATGCTTGGAAATAGGGTCATTATAGCTCAAATGTACCTACCAGGCGATTTATTCACAGACTTTATAAAGCTCATTATCTCAAAAAGTAGTGGGAAGATTTCAGAAAATGCTAAGCACTGTTGCTATGTTGACATTTGAGGTTAAGCACATTAAAAGGCAGAGAGTGGGGATGGGAATGTAGATTCTTCTTACACATTGCATTCTGTCACAGCTGTAGGAACTGGAGCATTGTGGTTGCTATTCTGAAATTTCCCTTCTGCTTGCTAATAACATTGGCATTTAGAATACTCTCTGTACTTTCTGCTTTGCAGCATCTTCCTATACCTTCTATGCTAGATGTAGATCCTTTCCTCAAATAGTCTTTGTTGAAGTACACAGGGATAAGAGGCTAGTACTTCCATGGAGCACAAGAAAACTTCTAGGTGTATGTTTTCTACACTTCTAAAGTTGTATCTAGTTACCTCCATTTTAATAATTTCCTTAGTAGATTCCATCTTTCAATGGATTTAATTCTCTCCCAATTAGGAAAACCATTTCCTTTGATGAATCATAGCTCTTTAGTTCTAACTATTTATCTTCTATCACATCTTATTTTCCTCCCTTCAAAAGCTTGTAGGAATACCTATCACCCCTATTTCCAGGCAAGTAATTCTGTTCAGGAACCTTTCGGAAAACTTGTATAAATGTATGCTTTATTAGGGATAAAGTAAAAAAAATTAACACATACCAAGTCTTTAAACTATTTTCAAAATATCAATTATGTTCATATAGATGTTTTATAAGACACAACTCTGTAAACAGACATTCTCATAAAATATTATTCAGTTTGTATATTTTTTAGAAGTATTTGAATGTGTTTATCAAATTTTAAACATAAATACTCTTAACCACTTCTAAAAATTGTTGACAAATAAAATTGAATAAATGATAAAGATAATACAGCACTACCACTTTGGAAAGCAGTATGAAGTTTCCACCCAGCTATCCCTCTCCTTTGGATTTATCCAGAAGAACTATAATCAGCATGCTACAGTGATGAATGCAGCACAATCTACAATAACCAAGTTACAAAACCAGCCTAGGTACCTGCCAATAGATGAATGGATAAAGAAAATGTGGTATATATACACAATAGATTTCTACTTATCCATGAAGAAAAATGAAATTGTGTCATTTGCTGGTAAATGGTTGGAAATGGAGAACATCATACTAAGTGAAATAATCCAGATTCAGAAAGTCAAGAGCTGAATGTTTTCTCTCATATGTGGAAACTAGAGGGAAGTAAGGAATTTTAAAAAGGGGATCTTATGAAAATGGAAGGGAGATCAGTAGAGGAGAAATGGGAGCCCAAGGAGGAGGGAGGAGGAAAAAGAAAGGGGCAGACCTGAGGAATGAAGTTGATCAAATTATGTTATGTGCATGTGTGAATAGATCACATTGCATTTCAATTTGATATATACCTATAATGCATCAATTTAAAACAATAAATAAATAGAATAAGACCAATAGAGAAGAGGAAAGGGATCAAAGCATAGGAGGAGGGGAGACAAAAAGGAGGTACTAGGTATTGAAATGGAGGAAAAATATTATATGCATTTATGAATATGTCAAAATGAGCTTCACTATTATGTATAACAGAAATGCATTAACAAAAACATTAAAAAGATAATCTAGAACCAGGCATAAAATAAATGACCTAAAGGTCAGATTGTTTAGAAAGCTAATTACAGAAATGTAAAACTAAATCTCACTCTGAGACATTTAGAAAAATATATATATAAATTATAATTAAAATTCTCATCATATTTCCATCTAGTGTGAGCTATAATAATATTTTATTAATGGATTTGATACCTTTGAATATACCATGTTTCCAAGGGCACACATGTAGAATATATGGAACTGAATTATCAGGGTCTATAGTGATATATGGATTTCCCCACACTATTGGTAGATCTGATGATACCTAAAAAAGAGAATTGAAAAATAAGAATTATATAATTTTTATGTTTTAATATGTTATACTGTCGTGTTCTTCATGACCAAAACCCTCAAGGTCACTCCAAGGGAACTGGGCTGCATGAAATATCCACACAAGAGACAGTGATACCTTTTTCTTCGGGGTCCTGTGATGGCTCCTCTGACCTTAGGGGTCCGTAGAAAGAGAGAGAGAGCCATTTGTTGAAGCCTTTTATTGGGGAGAAGCCATTCAAATGAGGCAAGGGGTTAGGTTTCAGGGGGTTGAGTCTAGCTTTGTGATGTCTGCTGTCAGCAGACTGACTGACATCTAGGAAGGCCACACTCAAAAGCAGAGCAAGAGAAGGAGACACACAAAGGGCATTTCCATGGAACATTCCATCCCAAACAGGGCAAAGGGGTAATATCACAAAGGAACAGGTAAGCATAGCTCAATCCATGGGACGACATGCCTACGTCTGAAGATGCTTCCTCAAACTTCCGGGACCAGGGCAATGTCCAAGTCACTATGAGATGTAGTAATGAACAAAGCCTCTCCACTCCGGGAAGGAGAATACGAATCATTCAGATTGGTTCCCCACATTATACTACATGAAATTAGTGTGACAAACTAAAATATAGAACTACTAAAATTTAATTTGAATACTTCCATTAAAATTATTCACTTTTAAAAGAAAAACAATTACAAAAATCCTGTATATAGTGGAAAAAAATCTAAGAAGAGACATATTAAAAAATAGAATAAAGGAAATTAGTCTCACAGAAAACCAATGTTTATTTTGTACTGCTACTTTTATCAAGGTCATTGTTGCTTAGAAAATATAAATATCCTTTATAGGCCATGCACAAATTATTTATGGGTTAATTCTAGAAATCTACATTCATACATAATATGTGCCTACTAAAGTCCCTGCTTAGCTACTAGTGCTCAGTAGTTAGCAATGATTTGTCACAGGTTCTTTAAATGCCCTGAACCAATAAGTTTTCTACCCATTGCAAAGGAGCACCATATATATGTTTTGGTATACCATCAGCATTGAGGTAGTTTAAAACTCAGTTGTAGCTTTAATTTCCATTTCAAGAAGTACACTTATGTCAGCCAGAGGCAAAATACTTGGATGCTCTCATGTCTTTCTTGAACATGCACACACATATATATGCACATATAATGCACATATATATGATCTGCTTGACCCACAGGATATTTCAGAGGTTTTAAATTTTCCTAGTGGTATTTCATGTTCCAGATACTCCTTTCAAGTTTTGAACCAAACTCTTATTGTTTGCTACTGTTACTGCAGTCTGGATACTGTAATTTGAACAATTGTTGCCCAAGATTTTTTAACAAATACTCTAAACATAGGATCCTTTGATCAAACAAAACTCTGAGACAAGTCAAATGAGATAATACCTTGCTAGTGAGATGTTTCCAGGAAACTTTGAGAAAAGTCAAATAATGATCCATACACAATCTGCCTATTTTCTTGTTTGAAAGGCCTCTGGTTTTAACTACTACTATAGTTGTTAAGATTGCAGAGCTGAGGGAGATAGGAGTAGATCAAGCTAAAAGCCACAAATCATTCTACTTTCACCATTATTTAGAGGTTTTTTTTAAATAAAAATTTACTCAGATTGTTTTACATCTTTAATTTCCAGATTTCTAAAAAATTTGATTTTGACAGTTTTTTCCAGTGTTACCACTACTTTAAAGAAATAGCTTTACAAAACTCCCTGCACCACATTTTTGGAAGTCCCTCATTGCTTCTCTTCCTTATTGGGTGATTATTTTCTACTACTTTTTTGGTTTGATAACATTCCATAGCATTTTACCTATATGTCAAATAGGCTTTCTAAATTTTTATTTTCTCTCTCATATTGTTAGTCTCAATCTTCTATTTCAAACTGTTCCTGTAGAAATAAGAAAAAAAATGCATATTTTTAAAATATAAAATGGAGATTTACTCAGCCATAAACAAGAATGAAAGTATGTCATTTGCTAGAAAATGGCTGGAAGTGGAGAACATCATGCTGAGTGAAATAAGCCAGACTCAGAAAGTCAAGGTTATCTCTTTTATGTGGAAGCTAGAGAGAGGGGAAAAAAGACAAGATAAATAATAATCAAGAAATGTCAGGCAAACAATATAGAATGATATAAAATAAAAGGTAAAGAGAGTTAGACGGCAGGTTAACAGTGTCAAACACTATAGGGATCTTCAGGCAGATAACCTGGGAAAGGAACTGCTCAAAGTCATAAGTGACCTCAGATGTAGTGATTGTTAACAGAGTATAGGAGCCACAAATGGACTGCCATGAAATAAGAAGTGATCATATAAATACTGTTCTTTCAAAAAGTTTAGCAATTATCAAAAATAAAGAGGATAGTAACTGAAGAAGGAATATGATTAGAGGGAAATTTTCTTTCATAATGGAAAAATTTAAGAATATAAGTTAAAGGAAATAATTTAACAAAGCTAAAAATATTGGAAGATGAAAAAGAAAAGGAAATAAAGTGAAAGACCTTTGAATGCATAGAAGTTAACTGCGTTTTACAGATGGTGAATTAGAAGCATTTCAGTGGCTCCCCCAAAAGCAAGTATACAACAAAAACCACACACTATGGGGCCAAGGTCAATAATTAAATCAGGTCTAATGGATCTAAGAAGGCATAATCTTTGACACCAGATTGGCATCATATGAACTTAGTGCAGCAAGCTACTTTTAAATATACTTTTTTTTAACCATAAAATGTATACAAAATCAGCCAGTAACAGTTGCACATGCCTGTAATCCCAGCAGCTCCTAAGGCTGAGGCAGGAAGATTGCAAGTTCAAAGCCAGCCTCAGCAAAATCAAGGCACTAAGCAACTCAGTGAGACCCAGTCTCTAAATAAAATACAAAATAGAGCTGGGGATGTGGCTCAGTGGTTAAGAACCTATGGGTTCAATCCCTTGTACAAAAAAAAAAATCACATAAAATCAACAATCCTCAAGGAAAGGCAAATAAAAATCACAATCAGATATCATCCCACACCTGTTAAGATGGCTACTATCAACAGGACAGAAGATAACAAGTGTTTGTGAATATGTGGGGGAAAAGGAATATTTCATGCTATTGGTGGGAATATAAATTAGTACAGCCATTATGGAAAACAATATGGAAGTTCCTCAAAAAATTAAAAATAGAATTACTTTGTGATTTAACAATCAACATTATTTCAGTATTATTTATGTAATAAAGTGATGAAAATATCACCACAGTTACTGTTGCCTATGATAATAATTTTATTAATTCCACTTTTATAATTAATCAGAAAGTATAGTTAATATAGCATAAGTATTAGTTTTAAAGTCACATCATTTTAAAAGTTCAATGATTATGAAGGATAAAATTAAATAAAAATATTATCTCTGTCATGAAAACAAAACAAAATAACCAATGTTAAGAAATTGTTCTATAATTTGGTTTCATCAAACTTTTGACAGGCTTCCTTGCTCATTAGTAAATTCTGGAAGTAGAAAAGAAGTGGTGCAAAAATCATGTTTTCTTTATTTATAGCCAATCCAAATAGTCATGAATTTTTTTTCTTCTTCTTTCCTTCCCACTCTACCTATTTCCTTCCCTTCCCTTCCTTCCTTCCTCTCAGCTCCCCTTCCTTTCTCTCCTCTACCCTTCCCTCCAGGTTCCTCCATCCTTCTTTCTTTATTTCAACCTTTCTTTCCTTTTTTTCTTTCTTCTAAATGCCACACATTATTTTTATCTATTCATTATACACTATTATGTATGTGCTAAATACTATGTTTTATGCCAGGTATAAAAATGTGGCTAAGATTTCTTTGTTCTCACAATGTATCATCTGGTGAGGAATAATAAATAGGTAGTAGCAATATGAAGTAACAGGTATAACGGTAAGGCAGTACAAAAATTCTGTAGTGGCAGAAGACTGTTATCCAGGTTTATGAATAGGGAAAGGTTCTTGGAAAAAGTAGACTTTTAACCTTACAAGAGAGAATGAAAAGGTGTTAGATACAGATAAATGGAACATAGGAACTTGGGCAGAGAGTTCCAGGCAGCAGAAAAAGGAAATACTGTTAATAAAGAATTAAGTGTTGCTGGAGATACAGGTGGCAAGAGATGAAGTTAATTAAACATTATGATAAGCAAAGGCAAGCCACTGAAGTAGGACTTGATCCTGAAGGTCAGAGAAGACATTGAAGGGTTTTAGCTGGGAATGAGCAGAAGAGATTTTCATTTAGAATATTCACTTCATTTATAATTCAGAAAGGAAAGAGAAAACCTAGGTGCATATATTTTAAGATTATAAAAAAAGTAGAAGACAAGCCCAGAGTTTCCAAACTTCTAAAGACCCTTCTAAAACTGAATTCATGCACCTAGAATGGGTAAATACTTGATGTTTCTTTTGAGGAATATATTGGACACATATTTTGTAGATAAAAATGGAGGCAGCAATTTCTTTCTTTCTTTCTTTCTTTCTTTCTTTCTTTCTTTCTTTCTTTCTTTCTTTCT